AATCAGTTCAATCATTCTCATGGAATAATACGTTAATAATTCACTTTTCTTTCATTAYAAAAATACTGTAAAATTTCTTAACTTTTGTATAATTACTAAATGTAAGATTTTCTATTACGTCAAAATTTTAGTAAGTATTAATAATTAATGATATTTCCATTTTTTGAATAAAAAAATTGGCATAAACTTTGATGTATGTAATTGGTGAATTTCTTTTAATTATGTACAATGGAAGACGTCTTAAATTGTCAGGAAATGGCGTAACGTGACTGGATAAGAGCAAAAGTTTCCATCTTGAATCATATTGATTAAAAAACGCTTTAGCACTAATTTTTCCAGGTCTTATGCACGGTCTTATGCTTGCGAATGTGCTTATGTTAACGTCTAATGCCATGCACTTGACTATATTTGTTTTTTTCGTTGCTTCCTGCTTAAACTTACTTATAACGCAAGTTATAAAATTTTCTGAAAAAAATACTATAATATCATTATATTGTATTTACGTTCGCTATAGCAGTCTGGTGACTAGTCCCTATTCCTCTAACGATTCATCATCGCTCATTTCCCAAACCTATGAAGAAAAACAACAAGAGATAGTATGAAAACAAAATAAAAGAAGGGAAATAAAAAGAAGAAAGRAAAAATGGACGAAAACAAACAATAACAATCATAAGCATTTTACCTCCTCAACTCGAGTGTCGTTCATRAGTTTTGTAAGTCCCGTTAAGTCTTCTAAGTACTTTGGTAAATTAAAAGCCTTTAGCAGAAACGAAAATCCTTCGTTCATGTAGGATGAAATAACCTGAAAAACGAGAAAGACACCACAAAAAATGTATTAATTTATAAGAATTATATCAAATTTTGATTCTTTGCGGCGCTCTTTAATAAAAGAAAGTTACATGATTGACAAGGAGCTCGACCCATGTCAAATCTAAATGTCGAGCGCGACAAAAGATAAATCGGGGGTAGAATACACTGTACTTAACTACCAAATGAAATATTGGTGTGGCTCTAAACAGGCTCAAGATCGCTGACCCATGTGGGATTTACAGACATGGTACTTACCACATCAGAGCATGCGATACATTTATCAAATGCAAGACTTGCTGGCAGAACTGTACTGTAGCGAGAYAGGAATCCTCGGATCTGATGATAAAGTSATATCATWAAAGAAYTACAKTGCACATGCGCATTCATGCCTTTCCCTTTTGGTACGTACCTGATGAGGAACCAAACCGAGAGGTGTTTCAAAGTCAGCTGTAAGATGGCTGTCTTTAGCACTGGTATTRGCRRTAGCTTGACCTCTGRAGAGCAACGAATAACACGAGAGAATGTAACTCAGTATAAGAGGATTATACATATTTTATTCCTAACAATGCATACTTACTTGTTTGGATGTTGTAACACCGATACCATAAGTTCAACGGCCAGCGCACTTGCGATGAACGACATGCCTGGGCGGCTCACGGTACACTGCTGATCGAGGGTGCGGTCACGTGTTGACTAGAGGAAATTAAGGTCGTTACTGAGGAGGATATTCTTGTCATTTGAACGACCTGGGTCGCATGTTCTTTAGTTCGTTTTTTTAGGGATGTGGCTTGAAATCGAGGTTGGTCTTTTGAGCAATAAATGTGGTTGTCTATGTCATTCCTCTCAAATTAGTTTTCACATGTTTTCAACCACAGCAACTGACATTGAACAACGTCAAAAGAAGTAAAAAGCAATAGCAATCCAAACCGTTACATGTAACAAGTCTTTTTTGACTCACGTTTCCTGGCGCAACCACATCGTTGCAGAAGTAACAGCCAAGATATGCCCCGGGTATAGCACCAAGACCAGAGCTACTAATATCAATTGGTTGTTGACCGACCTTTCTTGCACCATGTCTCATGACAAGGAACGTATCAAAACCCAACGCTGAAGTCATCACCAACTAATGTCATAAAATACCAAAGAGAAACACTTAGAAGATGCATGTATAATTGTTTAATGAGAATTTTGCAAAGGTGCCATGTTGTACAGCAAAGTCCTCGCGCTATGTTTTCATTTCTTCGTTTCAAAGATACAGTTTGCGTCTTTTAACTATGGTTTGAGTAGAGGGAATTTTAGATATGGGAGCTATTTTAGCGCACGCCTGAAAAGAGCGAAGGGTGCATTTTCCACCATAATTTGTTCCATAAAATGGCGTCGCTTCACTTTGCTTGTTTCATTGCCTTTTGTGCCTCGTGTCTTTTTAGCGGTTTGTTTATTTACCATTATTTTTTTATTTGTTTGTTTAGACTGTTTTTCTATCTGCTTCACGGAATTTTCATATTGTAGCTTTGCTTGTATGTTTCATTGCTTACTTGGCATAAACTAATAAAATAAATAAAAAATATCACAGAAGTTTGTTTACTTTTTCTTTAGCCGCTGCTATCAGAGTAGGGAGCCATCGACTTTCTCTCGTGTCCATCAAAAGATACACCACATCGTGCGCATCTATCAATGCTTCTAGCCGCTGTACGTCTCTCTGAACAGCATCTTGAGCCTCTTTAGACGAACCAATGGCATGACCAGGCATTGGGATTGAGAACATCTCACCACAGGCATTCTAACAAACAAAAACATATTTAATTAAAAAAACTTAAGTTATTTCAAGCAATTCGTGTATAAGTTTGCTTGGTATTACTTACAACACCGGGGAATATCTTGCGTAAWGCGTTTGCTGCTGTCTCTGCTTTAGGTTTCCCGCTTCCCTTACAGTCTTCAAACTCAAACAAGGTTTGACGTACAGGATTTGAGTAGGAAATACGACCATTGTCAACCAGGGTGATATTTCGTACTCCCCATCCCTTCACATAAGAAGAGAAAATTAGTGCATAACGCAGGCTATAAAATGAACGAATGAATAAATGGATGAAAATGCAGTCGAATCTCAACTTTCGGACACTCTCGTAACCGGACAGCTCTTACTACGAACAGCTTTCTAAACCCCCGGGTTTTTCTTTTTGACTGTATCCCCTCTTTTTTCATTGTCCGACAGCTCCACCGACAGACACCTGGAGTGCCTTATTACGGGAGATTCAGCTGTATTTACAAACAAATGAATGAATGGATGAAAATATAAATGGAAAAAAGGATAWATGAAAGAAGAAATATGAGAATATGAATGGCAGGGTGAGCAGTGAAAGAGGAGAAGCAGTGCCAGTGCAATGTCTTCCTTACTAGTAAACAACGAGCGACATTGCAACCCAAAGTTCCTGCACCAAGTAACAGACATTTTGTCTGTGAGATGACGTCCAGGTCYAGAGATGGTAAAAGTCTCCAGCGCATTAGTTTGAGGTTCAGATCAACAGATGACTCAGCCAACCTGAAATAACACGATATGGTGAAAAACAAGCACTTGTACGACATGTTTCGATGTACACTGAGAGGGACAAATGTAAACTGAGAGGGACGAAAGGAAAGAAATAGAGAAAAGCGTTCATAGAAGCACTTCGTGAGCAGAGTTCAGCATTTTCGTTCTCAGTATCAAGAACGAACCACAAAACAAGAAAATTATTTGAAATAAGGATTGCAAGTAGAAAAAGACTGATTCGCTACGTATGAAGTAAGGAAAGCAAAAAATGGAAAAAAGGAAAGAAAAGGAGGAAAAAAAGAAGGAAGAAAAGAAGGGAGGGAGCTTTATAGAAGAAGAAAAAGAGATCAAGAGATGTCAGGATCTAGTGTTATGAAAGATTAAAACAAACGTCTTACTTCTCTGGGTCCATAGTTGCACTAAGATCAACTAAACGAGGACCAAGTTTCTGGTTTTTGTTCTTYTCCCAACCAATACACTTTGGAAACTCTGAGTAAAATAACAGACTTTATTGCTCAGCGSATCTCATATWTARCGACATSAAGTGATTCACAAGCCATYAACTGTAGACCTACCTTTATTGTTTAATGCAGGAACACTGACATGGATCACAATACTGTGGTTTATTTCTCTCTTTCCACCACGAAAACGATCGCGAAAGCAGAGTATTTTTACTGTAGTTAGTTTGTCTCCCCTACAAAAATACAGACATTTGATTAAATGTCGGTAGCATACTTAATATGTGACTAGCCYACAAAGAAACATTGCTAAAACTTTGTTAGTACTACATTTCATTGAAAATGTTGCAATGTTACAATGTACAAGAATGTTATAAATGTACGGCAATCCTTACCAGTGGTAAGCCAAAAAATAGAGAAAGTTCCTTAACTGCCATCCTGGATTGGAAGGCATCGTTGATGGATCTGAAAAGCCCACCATCAACTGAAAAAGAAGTCATATATTTTATCATATGACCCGTATTTCGGCCCTACGCGCGCTCTCACTGAAACCTTTGGAAAATGGTCACGTGATGGGGTCCGTACGCCTTTTCGCGACAGGTCCGTACAAACCCGTATTTTCCCGGCTTGAAGTTTCGCGCGCTTTTATTTATTTTTTTACATTAAAAAACGCTGTCATATGATAAAATGCTTATTGACTGAGTTAGGTCGGGCCGTACGGGAAAATATTTGGCTCTCGGTCATTTCAAATATTTTCCCGTACGGCCCTCCCACTCAGTCAATAAGTACATATTAAATGTTTTGGACATGTACTTCTAATGTGGCTGATAGACATACTTTCTAAGATTACAAAGCACATATTATCCATGCTTTCTTCTCTTATCTTTGACTAATATTCAAACTTAGGTTTTGTAAGTAACTATTGTAGAGCAGGAGAAACATGTACCTGTTGTTCAGTCTCTATAAATTGGTCAATTTCTTTCAAAGAAGATAATTCTACTGTGTTGTCAGACACTTTGATAAGGAAGAAGCCAGGGCCTGGATTATGAACAAGTAAATTAATGAGTCAATAAAACACATGGAGTGCACGCAAATTATGGTGATAAGGAAAGCTAATTCAATCAATGTTGATATTGAGAAAGATCAAAGTTTAATTTTCCAACCACAAGACGTCACAAGGTATGTAATGTTTTGGTCTACAGTAAGGCTTTTTAAAGTCTGACTATCATTATTAAAATAATGATAGCCCAGTACAGTAGGATAATATCATTTTACTGAWTGTGTATAGAGTTCAAATACAGCTCACCCTTTCCATCAGAATYCAGTGCATCACATGAACTCTGAAGACTTGTAATCTGAAGAAAGAGAGAAATGTCGTCAATTTTACATGAATTTTTCACATAATATTAGTAATATTTGTACATTAATTTGACTTCAAATGAAGTTATGAAGGCCCTTTCTACTTATAGTGTTATGGCTGATTTAGCAGACTAGAAGTAGTATTGATTAAAATATCCAAATCACAGTCAGATCACAGGTACAGTTACAGTCACAATCACACGTCTTATAAAAAAACTACAAGACAAAGTTCTTTACAAAATTAACAYTGCCAATTGTCAAAGATACATATAGAATAACATTTAAAAAGATAGTCCATTGCACTCATAGACATGCATTCAAAGCAATAAACAGTTTAGTGCTTTTGGCAAAACAGCCAAATGCACTCTGACATCTTCAGTTTGTACTGGATCATCTAGCCAAACCTGTAGCACACTACATCATYGAGCGAAAGCACCATTTTATAATGTCTGCACCTACCTGTGATTCATTGAACACTTGGTCTAGAGWCTGAGGCTCGCCAATAACCTCTGACTTGTTTTCAGAGCACAATGCAGGGAAAGCAAACCAATAGTAAAAAACATATTTCTTCAAATCCTGCATGAAGAAGTTTAAACATTAGATCTATCATAATAACTATGATATAACACTAAAGTATATTCATGACATGACAAGAAGAGTTTTTTTCATAAACATTGTCAATCTATACTTACTGCAAAGGTTAATAGTAAAAACTGACATAAAAGTGATTGGTCTTCCAATACTCTCTTAGATGTTATGGATTCAAATATCTAGATCAGACAAGAAGGTATGAAAATCAAATTAAGCTTTGTTGTGTTCTAGTGTGAACAGTAAAATCATTACATAAGCTACAGATATCTCAAGAAGTTCAGGATGTTTAACTTTTCAAAAGAATGTACAATTCCTGGCTTCTTGGCTTGTTTTCAAATATTTATATGACCACAAGGGCATTAAGGTTATCAAAACCAATATAAACAACAATAACAACAACAATACAGTACATATATACATAGAAAGCCTAGAATCCTACATTCTCTCAAAAGTCCAAGATAATGTGTCACCTAATCTACAGGCTGACAATAATAATGGTATAAATATCATRCTGTTTATCAACCAAGAAGGTTAAAGCTACATATTAATACATAGTCTTAGGGCAGTTATGAAAATAACATATTTCATATTGTGTTTATTGTCTATTTATTTTATGACATATTACTGTTGTTTTATGAACATTTTCTAGTGTTCTACCTTTTTCCCTGTTTCTTCTATTGTTTTTACTTTGTCTAAAGATCTAAAATCTTCCATGGTATTTTTGTTTATCAATTCGCCCTGTGCTGGGAAGGTTCTTTGTGGAATACTTCCACTAAAAATGAATCAAATATTTCTACAAATGTTAAAAACATGCATTGATTTTGTTGGAAAGAAGAAAGAGACAGAGATCATTGAAGAATATCTGAAAAAGAGGGAGAAGTAAAGGCCTGGCTTTAGCCTTAAAAGGTATTTCTATAATACKTTTTCCTGATGCTTCTCTCATCTTTTCAAAATTCTGTGTTCTCTGAGAATAAGCCTATTATCCACACAGCAAAAAAACAAATATTTGTGGCTAAAATATGTAGTACAGGCTCATTGAATCCTTTATCAATAAAATGATTTGCTTTCAACTAGCCATTTATTGATTACCTATCTTGGACTCACATATTGATCTGAATTTCATTTATTCGTTTTTCCATTTTTTCCCCATTTTTTTCCAATTTTCCATTTTTTCATTYATTTCCTCATTCATTTTCATTTTTTTAACTGTCCACTTTGCTTATAACCAAATTTTACATAATATAAAATCTTTTAAAAGCAAACGACCACAAATTATCATGAACAGCATAACTCACATTTTAAAAGCATTGTAATCTATACTAAGCCGACATGGTAATCCTGGTAAATCACCTAAAACATGTACAAGAAATATCATCATTATAATAAGAACGTTGTAGGGTGCCTCATTAAAAGCTATCTAACTCACTGTTAACATAATATCCCTGCAAAGCCTTTGGCTTATCATCAAGCTGGTAGACATTTAGCTTGTTGTCTTTTAGTTTATGCCAAAATACGGCATCTACAGCGCTAGACAAGGGGACGAACTGAAGAAAATTCTTCTTTCCTTCCGCCATTTTGAATTTTGAACTTCCCTTTTGACCGCTGGATTAACACAGGAAGACCAAACACTTGAGCAAAACATGGTATGAACCGGATATGACGTAAAGGAAGTGGAAATCTCGGATCAGAGTCCCGAAGGGATAAACTGGGGCTGGGATTTGCCGGAATGTTTGACTGGGAAAAATAGATTGAATATGAATTGGACAGAAATAGTAAATAATAGTAAAAAGAACAATGGAATAGGATTGAGAACGTGAACAAAACATRCAATTTTTGAGTGGGACCTGATCCACTATAAAGTATGAAAATGGCGATTTGTACACCCTCGTGGGGCATAATTTTTTTGTTGGGGGCTAACAATCACCAAAATCTGGAAAAATGAGGGTGGGCAGAAATGGGCTCCTTGGGTTGAAAATTTTTTTTTTTTGAAATTTTGAGCCTCACAAATGAGATTTTCCAGCACTTTGATAAAAAAAATAGCAGGAACTACAGCCTCTCCTGCTCCAAAGTTCCTATTGTCTTTTGCTGAAAAAAAATGCTAAAGCTCACTGCAACAAACTCATCCAATGTCGATATTAAAACAATACACAATTTGTTTGACAATATTGATTTTTAATTTTTACTCATCATGTACTATGTACAAAACCCAACAATAAATAATCCTAAGCATAAAACTTTGGCCTAGATTTTTAAATTATATCAATTAAACAGCTTAATGAAAATCATGTACAAATTTGAACAATCAAGGAAAACCCTATCCACCAAAAGAAAAYATTTGGTTCAAAATAAAACATTTGCATTTTACTCAAAATGAAATTCTCACTATAATTGGTACAAAACGGTCAAAAACAATACCATGAGAGCTACAAATTACATGTAAACATAATGTTGAATTATAAAATGAATATGCTGGAATTTTTTTGAAAAATAATCTTCAAAAATGAAGAAATAATAGTTATGAAATCATATGTTTTATATTTCAAATTTGTTGTGTTTTTATCCTTGTTTACCTCAAATAATTAAATTAAACTCTTTTGTAAACACAAACCAATTTACAATCTTTTTTCATATGAAAGAACTTTCAACTAATCTAACGTTTGAATGCTAGAATTTATCAAACTATATGCCACAGCTCAAAATAACAATATGTAATTTGAACAGAAATATGTTCAGTCATCATTCCCCAATAATATTTCTAGAGTATAGTTATTTTTTTCTCACTTGGGAAATGCTACAACCTACTTCAATTTATTGATATCTTTGAAATTCATGAAAACATATTAAGCAAAAAGACAAACAAAAATTTAGTATGAATATATGACTTATCCACAACTAAAGTGCCCTTGAGAAACACATCTGAGAAATGCATTTTATCCCTGAAGCACCCACCTGGAGCCAAGTACTTTTTTTTGAAGTAACTTATTTGCAAAAACTTCAYATCAGCTCAATATAAGAGAAGTTTTCTAGTAATTTAGTGCACTCTGTATTCAACTTAAATTTCCTTGATATGGTTCGAATCTTAATGCTGCAGTCAAATAATTAATCTTTGTTTTACAGCTTATGAAGATCAATCTATGGCAAGGTTTCTTTGTATCTAGTTAGCTTGACACTAACGAATGTGACTTGGATGAAGTTGTGTTATTGCTCCCATTAATTTGACTCCAGGTATCCCCAAGTGCTTTAGCAAAATGTTCATCAACAGATCCTGCAACTGTCATAGTTTCAGGACTCACATGTTTATAATCACTRCCCAGTGAACGGCGAAAATGTTCTTCAACAAAAGGATCAACCATACTTGTTGTCGTTTCAACTATCTCTCTTCTGTGAAATCCTGGAGCRGGAGCCATGTTTTGTGGTGTATGGTACACTTCATTAGACACGTAGCTTACTGTCTGACCAATAACTTTAGTTGAAGTAATGACTGAGGGTCGAGTAAGAGAAACTGTAACTTGAATGGGTTCCATTGGTTCTTGCTTGATCTTAGGAGATATTGATATCAGAGGGGGTGGGCCAGATTCTATYCTTGTTTTTGGAAGGGGACTCACTGGAGATCTAAGGAATAAATGTAAAAATGTGTTAGTTATGAATAAAATTAATTAAATGCACATCTGTTCCTTGAAGGAATGTGYCAAGAAACATTAATAATAACTTGAGCTGATTTGAATAAATGTAATCCAAAAATATCATACAATKCATTGAGAAGTGATTTTTGCATGCTTTAGCATTTAGTAAAGTCTGTAAAAAGCTTTGCAAAGTTGAAAAAACAAAATGCAACACAGACAATTCACATTAAAGCAAGAAAACAACATTCCTGGCATATCAGCTGAAACCAAGACAAAACCTCAGGGACGATAACGAAAGAACAACTGGCAGATGAACACTAAATCATTGATAATTGTASAGCGTCCATGTAAATTCATTAAACGATAGAGTTTTAAAGTTCTTTCAACGAAATAAATACAGACGTTTATCCTTACGTTTGCGTGTAAGCTGTTTTCACTGTATTCTTTAAGTTCAGATGGTTTCTTTTTCTTGGATTTTCTGTGAAATCAARTTTAGGTTCCTCGTTGATGTTGATGATGTTTGATTCTTGATCTGTGTCAAATTGAAACACACAATAAATCAATACAGTATATAAGTAACGACTAAATATAATAGCAAATCAAAAAATCAGGTTGATCGTAGCGTATAAAATGTAAAAGAAACCGGTTTCAAAGGATTAGGGAAAATCACGCAGCGCGATCGACCCTYACTTCTTCWKCAAGRAAAATTTTGGCAAAGATTACTTATAAAATGTCTGAACTTCGCCTGATTGCTAGTTTYAAATGAGCAAAAATGCAAGCAATTTTAAGTTCATGAATATCTCTCGATTTTCAGATTGTGACAACTGAATACAGCATTTGAAATCCACAAGGAAAGATATTTGATCGCCAAACACTGAAACGTACAAGGCATTCTGTAGATTTCGTCGAAAGCAAACGAGGACAACGAGCGCTTTCTTTATAGTAAACACAAAAGTTCGAAACTTGGAACGACAACGTAAAGCTTTCAAACCATTTTCTAAGAGCTAAAATATGTATTTAGGAATGCAAATAATGAGTAAAACGTTCGAACGCTCGAATAGATCGTAATCCATGATCATTTGATCCAAAACTGCACATATGATTTCACTCAATGCTTTGGTATCCGGCAGCAAAGGTTGTAAACTACGAGAGAAGTATTGAAATCATTTCAAAGTGGCCCACCTTTGGACGACTACGTGGATTTGTGTCTTTAGGAAAAGTCGCTGGTGAAACGATGCATGGTATGTGCATTGTATGAATAACTTCGTGTCATATGAACAAAATATGTGTGAATGCCATGCATAGTTCTATCATGATGGCGCTCGAGCGACAATCACTTAGTAACCGATTGCTGGCATTTGATTTCGACCATGTCGACCATGTGTGATCATGACCCTTATCAATTTAAAATCTAGTTGACAGAAAAACTGCTAAATGAACGAGCTCAACCATAGAGAAACTAGTCCAAACTAMMTTGCTTGACAGGGATTGCCAACAATAGCAAATGAAAGGAAAAATTGACGCATTTCCGAGGAATGAGCCACATAGTTACGTTTCTAAGTTTTTGGTTATATTATAGTGACTTTGCATCTCACTTCATGTGTTTTGAAAGCACATGTTTTCAAACTCACCATGCCTTTGTTTCGTGTTCATGAGCGAGGCTGCTCGCGATAGCACGTCGAGAGGTGTCTCCATTTCTGACTACGGAGCTCAAGCAAAAACCACCCTTACAACAACTTTACAACCGTTCACCATCCTACAAAGCTTCCCRAGCACTGGTGCTTAAATTGTTTGTTCGATAGAGCGTAAATTCCTTTACAAAAGCACTTCAAAATAAATACTGTAAAGAGAAACAAAGATTAGATGAAGTTTTTATGTTTAGGAATGAGAAAACAAAGGCACCAGCAAGGAGGGCCCTGATTGGTTCGACTTGACCCTAATCCTGACGTCACAGTGAGTGGGGTCTCGATTTATGGCTGACTTGACTGGGCACATCAAAACACATCCTCATTAATCGATGCCTTCACAACCAGAATATGCAACTTACAGTATCAAATCAATTCAATTTATAGACACCGCAAGCAATTTCTGAATCGTTTCATTCAAGAAAATTTTCAAARAAAATTTTGTTTGTCAGAGTAATGGCCAGTATTATAAGCGAAATATAAAAGCACAGACAGAAAGATTAGCCATTCAGATAGGACGTCTAGACAAAACCCCAACACCCGTTCAAATACTTTTAAACTTTAAGTAAACAAGTTCGTAAATTTGCGAACCAAAACTTGCGATGTTGTTAGTTACGCTATTCTCATCTTCTACAAACAATAATATTTTTGTTTAGATAGTTATGGGTGTGTTATTAGCTTCCGTATTATTGAAGTGTGCTGAAGTCAGTGAAGCAAGACTGTGATGTAATCACATCCCAGCCCTCATTCCTATGTCCCTAACGCCTTGATGACGTCGAGGCGACGTCACGAGTGGGCACATATGGGATGGAGTCCCATTCAATAATAAGCACCCTTGGGGTCTCCGGCAATGTTTTCAGTTACGTATGGATAAGGCCTAATAAGGGCTATTTTATTGCTTCTTTCTATTGTTCCCATGGAGACGCAAAGGTCTCTTTTTTGTTAAACGAGCAATCAGTCGTCAGTCACAAGTGCAAACTGTTCCAAATGCGCTAAAAGATCACATAAAGTCGCTACTAAAGACACAACGAATCGTATTAATCAGCATAATTCATTGGAACAGGACGGTTCACAAATGCATCATATTCATCATATCAATTAATGATAAATTTACCAAAGGAAACCCCACAATTTTTCAAAGGAAACCCGGAAGTATAATTCGAAAAGAAAAAACCGAAATTCGCTTTAAACAACAAGAACGAGAAAAACATTAATAAACACTGGCAATTAGAGAAAGAAAACGTACGGGAAAATGCTTTTGAAAAAACAACAAATTAATAGAAACTGTAGTATAATGACTTCAAGTAATTCAAATATGCCCTTATATTATCATTCAAATTATAACATTCTATCATATATTTTATACAAATAGATCTATTTATCAACATTTTGTTTTCAGTATTATCTAAAAACCAYGCCACGTACTCAGTTGGCAMYGAGACAACCTCAGTCGTACCCAGACCCTTGYATCCATTCGTCTGGSGTYGAGGTTGTTGGAAGGATGGAATTCTACACGAGGGGATCACAGAGTCAATCTGCTCCAGTTATTGTGGCGCTGGTTATCCAGAATCCGGCTACACGATTTCCGGCCCCGCTCTCTTGWAGAAGCCACTCAGTCACTACCACAGCCTCTGACGTCACTTATTGAGCAATTTGGCCATTTCGTTTTCTTCGGTTTCATCTTCGGGAAATATCTCTGGTACTGCGTCCTGGCTTGTTTCCTTCAATACTTTTAAAACCAGGATACTGCCCAATGCTGCAGTAAAACCCATTATTCCAAAGGGCAAAAATGGATTAAACCTTATCTGAAAAAATACCAAATATATCCAAAMATTTCCAATTAGTGCAGTGCATTGTAAATGAAGTTTTTAAAAACTGTGGAAATTTCTTAATATATCAGTTTAYAGTCTCCTCGCAGCCGTGTTTAGTTTCRGTCACGCGTCACGCAACCTCTCCACAGAGGTTGCGTGACGCGTGACCGAAACTAMACACGGCTTCGAGGAGTCTAATCAGTTTACGAATAGTCATGAATAGCCTTCAGGCAAAACACATACCAGATACGTTACATATGCAGAAGTCATCGTCGACATGGCACCCCAACAAGCAGCTGCTCCCTGAGCGGTATTTCTGTTTTTTTTTGTGTGTGTGTGTTTTTTTTTTTTCATGGCAAAAAAATTAACGTCAGTTAGTGATTTTTGGAATAAACCTGTGATCAAAGTTGTTGTCGGATTCTATTCTCGACAAAATTGAATAAATAAAATAAAAATCAAGATTTCCACACTCATGTCCAGTAGCGTGTGGACGCATGCGTGTGACGACTTTTGGTGGACGCGGAGAAAGGGAAGAGACGGCAATTCCTCAAGGCAAGTCCCCTCTATGGACGGCCGTCACCAACAATGATACATTTTATTACATAGAGCCGGCCAGCGATCTTTTTAAACGATCAATCAATTTAACCAGCTATCTTTTCAATATAGCTCTGAAAAACTGAAGCCCCAAGTGAAATGATTTCATGAGAAGTCACGCACTTTTTCACGCTGATAGTTCTARTGTGTAGTACATTTTGAAAATGTATGTTTTACCTTATAACTGTAGGATAAAGTTCGGCAATAATAAGATTTAATCCATTTATTCCAATCGAGGTGAAAAACTTGAGTAGCACCRAGGCTGTTAGAACTTTTCCAACTAAAAAGCCTATTGAATCAAAATTTCAGTTAGTCTTCTATTAGCCTAGTTCAGGAGTCCATTATTGCCTCGTTTTATGGGATGTAAAAAGATCGATCCCCTGCCGAGCTTTGCCCATTTGACACAGGGATCCCTACAGATGATTCTTCGTTTTCAATATACCAGGGGCGTTTCCAGCGGGTGAGGGGGATATGAGGGGGATATGAGAGCCTGGGAACAAGGTTGAGGTTAAGTACCTGTACTACCGTCATCGTAAAACAGAAGAAAACCAGCTACAAACGAAGACAAAGCTGCAAATGCCAAACAACCAGCAGTTGCYTTTTTTCGTTTWACCCTAAAGAAATGAATGAATGGSAATAAATAAATGAATGGGAAAATAGAAATGAAATCAATTCAATCGAGCATGGGTCGGATCAATAAATAGYGATAGATTAATTGCTCATTATTGATTACATATTAGCTACAGACTATAAATAAACTTCAACACTCTGCAAAAATAATTAAAATATAAGCTTTATTTTTATCATATTTCTTTTAGTTTTGCTATTTTGCGTTGGTACCATTGTACGTACMATATTTTAATCAGCTCGGTTTAACTAAATCGCAACACTAGCTTTATCCACACATTAGCTAAAACCTCCGAGTCTAGTCAATGACAATAACAGACGTGTATTTTTTACCTGCTATGAATCCACGATCCTAAACCGGCGCTGAATATTTCTGTTACCCCAGCAAGAAACCAGTTGAGATATATACTTCCTCCTATGTTAGGGGCGATTAGGTATAAACCAGTGTAGATCATTGCGTTCGCGAAGCTTAAAAAGACAAGATAATTTGAAATCAGTCTTGCCTTCTTTGAAAAAACATACGGAATAATTCAGTTTCGAATTCTCCACTGCTCTGTGTTAGCCTCATTTGCGCACAAAATATTCCTAATTGTGGGAATAAAAGTGTGAGATTTCATATCAAGTCTATTGTCTCTCTCTTCAAATTCCATGCGTTTTCGCAGGCTATCAATAAAACAAAAGAATATGTTACCTGGTTTTGAGGCTAACACAGAGCAAACCAGAACTCGAAATTGGAGTATTGTGTGCGACACTTTTAGGAAAATATCTAATATTTGTTTACTTACAATGCAAACCAGATTACTGGAGTATACTTTGCAAAATTTCCGCGGAATAGCAATCTGATATCATGAGAAGATTTCTCCGTTTTGGAATATCTTGGCAGTGTGATGTCATGTGGTACTTCTTTTTTGTTTATCTTGGAAATGAGTTGCAACGTTTTCCGAGCTTGTTCTTCTTTTCCTTGAACTATTAGCCATCGAAGGGACTCAGGTGCCAACCTGAAATAGAATTTTATAACCTCACAACTTTATCTTTGACTTCCTTTTCCATAACGTTAAAATTCGTCTTTCTCTCTTTTTTCAATATGTAAACGAGACGGGCCCAGACCATGGAACACAAGTTGAACTGTGATGCCAACATACATATACCATTTTAAAATGAAATATGCACTTTACCAGCATAACACTAAGCCAGGCAGCCCACAAAGTCCAAGGATAACTACCAATGTTTTCCATTCTCGAGCAAGGTAGGCAATGCCTGCAAAGACAACGAAGCCCAGCCCATAGGACGTCCAAAAGAGGTTACCATACAAAGGCCTTTGCTCGATTCCGACGAATTCCACGATGTAAACAAGACCGGTGAATAAAGCACCATCTAAAAATTAAAAGATTTTTTATTAGTGTTTGAAAGTTTTCAGGAGCGACTTTCCAAAATACATGAAACTAAAAGTGTAACAAGCAAATAAAATTTTAAATTGCATTCGGTCCGGTTTCCAAGGAAGGGCGTGCTATATTTCTTGGAAGGCGATCCGCGCATGAAATCAAGATACTACATCTTCAGCTGAAAATATCAACCGGGCTTGCACTTCGGATATTATTGCGACAAGGCCTCTCAAAAATCGTTCATTG